GCGTACCAGTTGAACTGGAGCGCCAAGTTGCCGTCCGTCGAAAGCTGTGTCGAAATTTGGTGTTAGATATCAACAGATGATGAGCACAACTTCCGCCTAGACAAGCTCCGGATGCGCTCAGTTTTTCAACTTCCGCGTTGAAGTCATCTGCAAGTACAAATACGTCGGAGCTCCGACTCAGCCACATGAGATCGATGAGTACACCGTAGAAAGCGTCGTTTTGAGTATCACAGCTGCAATTTCTCGGTGCGCATGCCGATACGATGAACAAATACCTTTTGGTGTTGCTTCCGTTCTGGACGCTGCAGTCAGCTTCTGGAAACTGGAATGCCGGTGCCTGTCTTTTGCAGTAAGAGTATGCAGTATTTGGAACGCCCTTTCATGTCACCTCGTTTGTGCACCCACTATTGAATCTTCAAGCAGAGACTCGACGAAACCTTGGCACACCTCACATTCGTATACCACTAAAAGTAAACGTAAATTCACTGAAGCCTACATTCTCTATTATCTCCTGCCCGGAACTCTATGTAACTTCTTTTTCGGCGTGTAACGATTCATCTGTGTATATATCCTATAGGAACAAGAGAAGCACGAGCTTGTAGGTTATTCCCATACTAAAACTTTGATGAACTGCATATAAACGACTGCTGATGGGGATCCAGTCGATAAGACAGGACTCCGCACTGTTATTGAGTACAATACCTACCCGCGCCGACCTATTGAACTAGCTTCATCATCACCTGATGTGCGAAGGACGTATCTCGAAGTCAAATCTGGCGCGCTCAAGTGGCTTACAGTAGTAGGATCCTGAATTGGAGTTTCCGACACGCAGCGAATGTCGATTCCTAAGGATTCCATTGTACGAGTCAGACAAGCTTGTTGACCCAACTGCATCAGAGTCCTCACGTCGAAGGCCCCCAAATTCAGTGATTGAGGAGGCTTTAGAATCTGCAATTCACTTCGTGGTACAATACTTACAGTGCTCTTTGGAAACGACCTTTGGAGAGTGACATCCAAGTTGTCTGAGGGATTATTAGAGATTGGAAGGAGGGGCAAATGAAGAGGGCTGGGTACTGAAGACAAAGAATTAAACCAAGGTTGGGATGTCTGAGCAGTAGCCCATTTATCACTACCCACCCCGGTCGATGCAATGGGCAGCGCGGTCCTGATTATCCTGTGCGACGACCGATGCAGTATGGAATTATTTTTATTTTGTGTATGCATGTGTATGCATCATTCTGTATTGCTATGTATAATATCACAAGTCGTGCATGATGAAACAACAAACTGATGGCTAAACATGATCATCAATCAAGCACCGTTATCAAGTAAACATGGTTTCACTCGCATAAAAAGAATCTCAACTGTCACTGTATGCATACAAGTGATCGACCATATACAGATTCGATTGGGTGATTTTTTGATAAATGACGGCAGTGGACGAATATCTCGACACTGAGCTGCGGTGACTCAAAACGCGTTATTTTCAAGGCGAAGGATGGGTATGGATGCGTAAGGATACGAATTCAAGTCAAAACCACTGATGGAAGTAGTTGGTGAAGTAATCGCCGGAAAATACAAGGTACCCAAACCACATCGATGCCCAATGAAGCGGCGAACACTGCAACAACCACGAAAGTGTCTCCTCTTGTACGTTTGGAATCAGGGCTTTTGGCAAACTTCCACGGATGAACTGCCATCGACTTGGTCATGTTCCTGGATGTTCACTATTCGTTTTCACCTCGATAGGAATTCCAACATAACTTTACACTCATCCCGACTCAATTCCACGCTTATTCGTTTATCCAAAAGTGTACTACAAATATATTGCTTCCACCCAAAACTCTGTATTTTGACCCGTCATCATCATTACCCCAGAAAAGAAAAGACGGATCAATTGTAACCAAGGTCGCGGAAAGAATTTTTTACAAACAACCACGTGACCATCCTTGCACCAACCTCCTTTATAAGACAAATGAGCTAGTTTGAACGAGCATGGGTGAACACAAATCCAGCGAATCGCTTGTGACTGGTATCTGCTGTCTCTCGGAAACGAGATTAAAAGGTCCCAGTTGCTTATCCCGATTAACGTTTCCAACCAAGCCCAAGAGTAAATTTCAGCTGCCCCTCTCTGGAGACCCGCACGCTAGCACAGGCGCTCGGATGGGTGTTGGAATCGTCCTGAGCTGCGAAGCCAAAAGTGCTGTATTATACTTGATTCCGATCAACAGTTAACCTTTGATAGTCTAGTTCGTGAAATTTTGTGGACTGAATACGCGTCGAGACCACATTCGAGGTTTAATCGTTATTTCCGGTTATTCGTCAACATACTACAAACAAAGATGACCCATCAAAAGCTTTATGAACTTCTGCATATAGCTCATGGAGCAGACATTGTGGTCCTCACTGGAAACCTCGACGCACATATAGGCCTGGTGCCGCACGGAAAGAATTTAGCGTCATCCCTCCTCAGTGTAAGCAATCATGTGACAATAGGTCACCGAAGACAAAGCAATGAATTCGGAGTTTGCTTTTACTGATTAACCGAGTTGGATTCTGGTTATACTTAGGTTTCGGATTCTGTGGTTTTCAGAAGCCAAAATAGCTCAATTTGGACAATTCTATGGATCCATTTATACTGGAATGCCACCAAATAGAACTCTCAGTCACTTGGTCCAGAGGGCGTCCCCCCACAAGAATTCCGCTCCTGACCGTCCCTTTATTCTCTTGATCTCTCTCCTATGATGTGTTTCTCAGCTGCTGGAAAAATATTCACTTATTTTCCTTCCCTGAGCAAGATGTACCCTGTGATCTTAACAATTACCACTCTCAAACAGTACCAAATCATGCAACTAGTTTGTGTGAGATAACTTTGCTGCCATTTGGAAAGCAGCGAACTTGCCAGCAACCGCCAATATGGCTCCCGCTGTCACAGATCCACTGGCTACCTGTTGGTACACAAGTCACACATTCGGTCCCAGGTCACCACTGACTGTCATAGCGATTCAAATTTGGTTTTCCCCTACATCTCCACGGTGTTCGACTGACTGTAACACGATGGGATCCTGGCAAAACTTGATAAGTCTGGACTCTTCCCTTGTTTCATCATTTGGGTATGAAGCATTCGCTTTGATTGTTCCACGTCGGTTGCTGCTGACAGAATCATTCCAAAAGCGATCTCAGGTAGCTATAGCGTCCAACAAGGTTCGTGTTACCTCTGATCCTATTACTTTCCATCGAAGACTTTTCATCCCAATATTCGGTCAGTGGTGCCACCTCAAGTTATTCCCCTTATTGCGATGGGTACCATGCTATTTCTACCACTATCACTCACCATCGAAATGCTGTCTGTGCTTCACTCAATTCAGACCTGAGTGATATCGCTGTGTACAGCACTAAAAATCAAGCAGTTTACCACACCACTAAAAACCCATACCTTTATGCTTCACCGAGTTTCCTCTCTCCTATGTTGGTTCTCCCATATTGTTGAAATTGAACTGTGTGTCCAGGAAGCTCCATTCTAATCCACTCAACGCGGCTTTTCGCCCCCTACCGACTGGTCGCTATATACGTGCCTCAAATACGTCCCATTAGGGAATATTGTAGCCATGTGTTCGGTGGAATCTGCTCTTTTTCGGCACCGTTTTGGGACCGTTCTCAGCGCAGAGCCATTCGCCTTTTTACCAATTCGTCTTTGGCGTTCATCCTTTCACCACCCACTAAGTGCCTTGAAATGGTTTCCTTGACCATTGTCTATCAACATAAGGATGGATTTGTTCTGTGGAGCTTGACGATTTATCTCCTTATGGACATTTATTTTCTGGCAGTAAACGGTAGCAAGCATGAAGTCATAATAACCGAGTGACTGTAAAACCTGTCGAACGGCAACTTACAAATTGTTTTATTTTCCAAGGACCGGTCCCCACTGGTCTGTTTTTCCTTCTTTTTATCACATTTCTACATTCAAGCGTAGGATCGACTAGTTGTGTTTCGGATGAATGTTCCTTATTTCCACTGTACGGTTGTTCCTTTGAGAATGTGGTTTACATGTTTACCGTACATTATACTTCTTATATAACAAAAAAGGCGGATTTCCATAGGCGATCGCGCAACACTACAACCTGGACGTCTAGGCACCCGATATTCCCATTCATCTTAGACGTGCATCAGGTTCATCTTTGAACTATGACATGAAACTAGTCAGATCGCGGAAAAAATGGTTATTAGATAAATGTTGTAACTGTTCATTAAATTCGTCAAAGTTAATGGGGCATCTTGTAGGCGCGACAACTGGTTTTACCAGATAGAAGAGATGTCCCCAAAACAACAACGTTGTTTTATCTACCCAAGTAACGAGAACTTACAAACGACATTCTCTCAATCATCTACCGTAGCCTACAACTTTAAATCGTACTAAGCGGGATTGCGATATTACTTAAGCTGTCCAAGAAATCTTCCAATTAACTGACTTGGTTCTTATTCAATAGAATAACGTCCTTCACACCGAAACAGATTGAATGTCACAACTTCTTCAATAAATAAATCCGTTTAAAAACCATGTGAAGTGCAACATTAGTGACGGTGGGGAGGGAAATTGATCCATTCCACTTCAATGATTAAACTAAGCATCTCGCTCTGATATGTGGCTAAAAATACACACAACACTGTAGTACGTTAGAAATAATCAATCAGTGGGCGCACTCCTAAGCAAGTGCTACTTTAAAAGACAGAAAGAGGGAGGCACAAGAGCGAAAATAAACTGGTTAAATTGTTGAGTTAGAAATTGACCAATAAATGGGTGTTTTATTTTTTCTGCGTCTATTGGAAATCATATTTGAAATCGCACCAGAAACAGTGCATCCGTATCAGCGACATGCGAATATCACCTGTGGCTTTTAACTGAGACTGGGCAATTCACTGAGAAGCAGGAGGATAAACAAATGGTCGAAAGTGCATAGACTATTCTCGGTGCAATTTCCTACAGCGTATAGTCCATCTGACTAGAACTGCGTGTCTGTTGTGCACGAATTAGGCGGCAGAGTGCAAGTAAAAACAACCAGATAGTCGTAAGTGTCAAAACGATAATACTGATAGAATTCGACGGGAAAGCATGATGAAACCTATTAGTTGGTAAGAGAAAAAACAAGAAAACAGTTGCAGCAAATTTGTTCGTACTACTGAAAATGCTTACCTTTAACCGGACACCACCTCGCGCTGTACGCTGAATAAGAAAATGACTGATCCCGGTTCCGGCGAATGGATAGGCTGGGCTGGTCGCAGACGCGGGGCAACCGTGAGACATACTCAGACGAGTGACGCTAGGTACCGGACCAGATACACTACATCGACCTGCACCTTCACCGAACCGAACCGAAAGTGCGTAGCAATTTGCATGACTACCACTGTCACGAATCACGAAGCTACCCGGCTACAAACGAGAGAGAGAGAGCGAGATGAGAAAGAACATCACAAAATCGAATCTCAACAGATCGGTCACAGAAGAAAACCCGAACGACTAAAACTCGCATTGAGAACTACGAGATCACGACCAAGGTTGAACAATGAATGAGATCAGATGAAGATTAAATACGAAGGAAGGTACACATTAAAAGCAGATTGCCTCTATTCCCAATATGCCTATTTTGTGGTACAAATCAAGAAAAAAAAATTGCTTTTAATTACTCGATTGTACCTCTGTATAGGTTAAAAATTCAAGAGTCTCAATTGCTTAGGAATTCTAACCATTGCAGGTTAACAATGTCAGTTAGGAGAGCTGACAACCAATCAGCTGCGCAACTGGTGAGCCGGAATCACTAACCAAATAGAAATTCGAATAATAAAGAGGAAAGTACAAAGAAATCCTTGTGAATTTCAATATCTCACCGGTTGTCTAGAGAGGATCTCTAAAGCCACTTCACGAGGTACATGTGGCTGATACCACGGTGCCTGAGACAACTCAGCCGACTCATCCAACGAGCCCAATATTGGTACAGGTGGATGCGGACCCGTGAGAGCTGGATCAGTAACTTCCGGAGGTAGTGGTAAACGGGATAGAGAATATCGGCTCGAATTCGGATAACTCCCACCACTTCCAATGGATCGGCTTTCAGCAGCGTTTCCTGAACCCAAAGCACCGCTTCGGCGTGAACCCGGTAAACTATGCCCAGACCCAGATCCTGAACGGGTGGATTCAGAGGTTGTTGTCGAACAGCCGGTGGTGGATGAAGACGCGGTAGTTACCGCCGAGGTATTTATCGGATGTTCAGCTACGGAGTGGGGAGTGTCTGCAACCGCACTTGTTGGAGTAACCAAGATACCACAACTCCTGTGGTCGGCCATATCATAAGAGTGCTGGGATTGTGGACTAAAAGAAATGATAAGAAAGCATGACAGTGAGAAACTGAGTGAACAGGACATTGTACTACACCACACACTAAAGATCACTGGCAAAAAAACACTAGGGGGTTGATGTGGCGGCAATGTATATATATATACTCTTTTATCGTAGTTTTTAGTTGGAAAACTAAAGCAGAAAAGAAACCATAACCAAAGGTCAATAGCGGAACCTCCACATTTATGGGTAGATTAAGAAAACCCAATGATGTGCGCAATACACATAAAAAGTTGTTTCAAAAACAGAATTATTTGTAAAGCAACAAAGACATGAATGACATTTAGCTAAAGTAGAAGTAAAGAAAAGTAGCTGTTTCAGTAAAGGATCTGAGTGATCTATAATCCCAGTAAAAACACCAAAAGACAGCGGTAAATAGCAAATTTCTAACATTCTCGCTACTTTGTCAGGCGCAGAGAGATGGAGATGGAGGTCAGCGAAGCTGTATATTATTGAAGGGTAAAGATGAGACATCTCAAAGCATGACAAAAGCGGACAAATATTGGAGGGAACAAATCGAGTATCCGCCTCGTTCTCCCGAATTCTCATCACTTAAACACTGGAGATGATAACGTATGCGAGAAATCTTTATTTCAACAAAATGGCTCACCGGGAACCACTTATTGAAGGTTGTTTCGTTCGTTCAATCAAGGAAGATTGTGACGCATTGCGCGCACCGGGTGTATCGGGAAATCCTACGGGTGGGAGGTCGGATAGGGAAATCAAAGTCTCCGAAAGTGGTCTAGAGGACAAGCCAGCACCATTTGAAGTAAATTCGACCCCAACGGATCGAGGTAAAGCCGAATGTCCGTTCGTTTTTGTCTGATCCTCCAAGAGGCATGCAGTCAATGATGAACTGACGCGCGGAGGGGGTGGAGGTGGTTGTACTGGTCGATGACATGCCCCGGCTGGATTTGAAGCCGTTTCCGTAACACCATGTGGCATACTGTCCGCCAACGATTCGCTCGTCCCCGTATGTCTACCGGAATCAGCTGAAATCGATGTCCCAATATCTGTTGTAACTGATGCGGCAGTCCCACTTTCTCGCGTTTTGTGACGATGACGGTGCTTATGATGTTTATGGTGTCTGTATAAAATAAAAGTCAAGCCAGTTTATGGAACAAAAATAAAAGCACAACCGTATTGCATAATTAATTTGCAGCATCCAAACCGAAACAAGGAACCCCCCCACCGCACAATGAGCTGAAATCTGAAATTTCCATCTGTACTGACCAGCAATAAGTCCTCAACAATGGGAATTTACGAAGAACTGAAGCAGGCCAGCGACGATATACATACACATGTACTAATCTCTACGGGTATACCGTCAAACTTCCCGAAGACTTTTAAGGCCAATGGGCAGCAAGCGAATAGCTTCGGGTGGGAAAAAACAGGCTTTGTTCGTCTACTGACGCTTATTTTAATTATTTGTGATTTTCGGGTTTTGTGATGGGAATTGCCAACGCTCAAAAATGCAACCAGAAATCACTGGCTACGGGTAAGAATGCCAAAAGTACCAATCTCATTCCTGAGGGTTGAAGAAAAATGATATCTGGTAAAGTACTCGGGAGATACAACACGGCGACAGCCGTAAAGAAAGTATACAGGGAGTCGGTTGTGGACAAACCTCATACTTCCTCTGTTTACGCTCATTTATAATCGGCTCCCGAAGAAATAAACGAGGCGTATGCTCAACCAAAGTACATATTGATAACTTACGGCATAAAAAGCCTAAATGTCGAATAAGAAGCAAATTAAGATTCGTGAACGATTACCGTAATGCTACCAAAAGGCGGACCCAGTTCTCAATATGGAGTATTAGGAGGGTTGACACCCGAGACTGCTGAAAACCATTGTTGCTAGCAGTCCTTTTGGATGGGAATAAAACAACGCTTGAGTGCGCTTATTAGCCTAATAATGTAATACTGATTTTCATGAGTCTATTTGTGTCGGGGTTCCACTAAATGGTCAAATGTTATAAACCGCAGGAAGGAAATTTTATAAGTCTAATGATAAACTGTTAAGTTGTGGGGTCCATCAACCTGAGTGCTGGTAATCGAGGTGGTACAGCACAGAACGTTCCAATAAGACTGAATTGTAAACTGATTTGGTCGCTTCAATATGTAAACAGGAATATTCTCTAGAAGATACTTAGCAACTCAAAGAAAAACGAAACATTGATCCAGCCCGTGTCCAAGCAGATCAGTATCAAACTAACACCCGTAGAATAGATAGCCTAGCAGCCATTAAACTTAATGGTGAAAAAGTTGAAACCCCTAATAGAGACTGGTCACTCAAAAAACTAGGTATAATCCTTCTGACGCATAAAACTGCCAAATTCGAAAGCTACCCCGATGATTACGAATGTATTGTATGCAACCCACCTCCCTTGACAATGAGGTAATAAAAAATGTAACTGATTCGTCTGATTGGACAACAGTTGAATTTGGAACCTCTTTCACAAGGCTGACCATTTCCTTTGATAGTGAACCCTTTGCATTACTCATTCTGAATT